CAATGGGGCTTACTCCCGCCTAACTGAATACAAGATTGCAGCTTCATGCCCAAGCAAAACAAAGTCCCAAGGCTGCAATCCAAACTCCACCTAGCTGAGAGTAAGTCCCACTGAATTCAGTAGGACTTGCATCTGAGTAGCCTTGGCTAGGATTGCACTATAAGTACATGCTGTAACTGCATTTGTTCACATGCATCCCATGTTGTTCTCGCCTCCCACATTCCTTAACTCTTCCTTTGCCTCCCTGTCTGCGCATCACAACCACCCCCACTGTAGAAATGTGCGCACCGACCCCTCTCACTCTCCAGGCTTCAGCAAAAGCCTGCATTCGCCCCATAGGACACACACACATTTCCCCTTCATTTGTGGAGAGGAAAAAGTGTGTCCTATAGGGCAAAAAATACGGTAGATAGCTGCTGCTGGCCTCCTTGAGTGCAGTGCACAGAGGGGGGAGCTGTACATGTAATACATCAATTAATACAAAATAAAGCTGGGTAAGGCAGGAATCTAGCCAATTGTTTCAAGAGAAAGCTAGGATAAAAGTGCCTGAACAACAATTATTTTGTACATTTTGTGCTGCATATATACATGTGAATGATCTGTCTGTCATTCTCACCTCCATCCCATTCTCCTCAAATTAGGTTCAAATAAGGAGTTATTTCACACATAAAACAGGGAATAACCTGTTTTATATTCTGAGCTGTTTTGAGTAGAACTAGCCCCTTTGCATTGCCCTACCATGATATTGGGGGGGGGTGTCCCTCCCTAATCCTGCTCTGAGCTTCCCTTCCCATAATGCAGAGCAGGAGCAGCAGTAAGGGAAGAAGATGGGAGAGAGGAAGAAATTGAAATCTGCCCCATATGCTTAAAATCCAAGTCAGAGAAGAATTTGGGGTTTCTAATTCTCACCTCTTATTTGAAGCAACCACCAGAGTTCATAACCAGAGCCTGCGAATGGTGAACTTTGGCATCATCTGTAGGATACATTGGCATTATTATAAAGTAGCCAACGACAGCAATCAAACTACTAATGTAGTGAAAGTAGTAGCTCAGCATTTTGAACCTGAAATATATTTCAATATATTTGAGGTTGAAATGGGATTGCCTTCTTTTTTTTAACTACAGAAAAATCAAAGTACAATATAGGACAACACACGAATACCTGCAGTGAAAGACCCAGGAGAACTGGATGCTTAGCCTTCCTGAATATACTTTCACTGCCTTTGTAGGAACCATTTGAGTGACCTAGTTTTATGCAAATGTTGCGGATCTATGCTTCTCCCCCAGGAGGGCTAACTTCAAAATCTACATGAATAATATAGTGTGCAATACAAGACTAAAAAGCAACCGCAACATAATTCTGAAGTTATCACACTGCCTGTGCATCCAGTTTTATTAGGGTTATAATTCCAGTTTTACCTCCTAGGATGCTAAAACACCCTGTGATAGATACTACACAATATTACAAATAAATGTTGATTGATACTGTTGTTCACAATTCCTGGGCCTTTTAAAATGAATCACTGCTTCTAACATATCCAATGTAGACTTCCTAATGCCAACTGCTGCTTCAGCACCCAGGGTGCAATGCATTCTGCTCTGTTCCCTGCAAAACTTTCATTTGTTGTATTGGGTCTTTAGTGGATGTGCTAGAATCCTCAGTGGTTCCCAATTAACCAAGTACTGTGGACAATTTGTTTTTCAAAAGCCAAGCCATGGACCCCCTACTTTTGAACATATTGCCATCTCTGTGGTAGTTTTTTTTTAAAAAAAAATGTGAATGGTGCCCTGGGTGGGCTATGCAGACCCCCTGGGGTCCATGGACCACCAATTTGGAACTACTATGCTAGATGATACCCCAAGAGTACAGCTCACCAGACACTTTCGTAGCACAAACCTTAAAGAAATGAGGCCGAATGAGCCTCAATAGATTTGAGATGCAGGCAACACTCACATCATACATTTAAAGCTCCCCATTCAAAGAATTCTGGGAGCTGTAGTTTGTTATGGGTGATGAGATTTGTTAGGACCCGTATTCGTCTCCCAGAGCTACAGTTCCCACAGTGGTTTAACGGTCAGTCCCTCAGGGGGAACTCTGGAAAAAAAGTCTGTTTCATTGTTTTTTAGAGCAGCAGAGCACTGTAATCCACTTTAAATGTGCAAAACTAAACTTCCAGGATATGAATTCTTCCCACAAAATATTGACAGTTTGGATAAGGGACAACAACATAGTTATACTTGTTTAACACAATATATTATTCTTTTGGGAAATATAAGGGGGTTAAGAACTTAATTCATTCTGGAGGTCCATTCTTAACCTGAAACTGTTCTTAACCTGAGACACCACTTTAGCTAATGGGGCCTCCCACTGCCGCTGTGCCGCCGCTGCACGATTTCTGTTCTCATCCTGAAGCAAAGTTCTTAACCCGAGGTACTACTTCTGGGTTAGTGGAGTCTGTAACCTGAAGCGTCTGTAACCCGAGGTACCACTGTACAGTTCAAACCTAACATTAATGTCTTGCCTATGTCCACCACTCATGCCAGTCAAGTACTAAAATGTTTAGCATCAACAGTGTGCCAAACTATGGTTGCCATTGATTGCCCTTCAATCCTCTTGATGTGAAGAGTACCTTTAGACAGGAACTCTGTAGGCATTTCCATAGGAAGGACATTTCTTCAGGCTTATATAACCTTATGGCAACCTGGATGAAAGGATGGTCCTACATAATCTGAGATGTATAGTTATAATTCATCAGGCCTCCTAACAATGTATATTCAAGTGTAATAACAAAGAAAAGTTGATGGCACTCTGGATAGCAATATGCTTTACTGGCAGGCCACGCTGGAGAGAGCAGAGGATCTGGACTCGTGTCATTGTTGAGGCTCCTCTGGAGTGCTAGAGCAGCAACAGCAGCAACAGCCACTGGGAAACAAAGTGGAAGGCTGTGCTGCAACAATGAAGAAAGGAAGCATGATGCGCTTCTTGGCAGTAGATCCTATGTTCCACTGATCCCATGTGGTGGGGCACAGGATTGGGCCATAGCTCAGTGGCAGAGCCCAAGTTTCTAATGCAGAAGGCCCTGGCTTCCATCCTCACCATCTTCTGTTTAAAAGGATCAGGTAGCCATTGAAGGGAGAGGCCTTTGCCTGAGACCCTGATGAGCTGGCCCCCCAATCAGAGTAGCCACTGATCTATGTGAACAGACAGTCTGGTGATATAAAGCAGCTCCCAGTGTTTTGCAAAGACATATCCACTAACTGGTCTTTGAAATGTCTGGGTGACCTTGTGCTTTCTGGAGCTTACATAAGCACTCTTGTGCTGTATCAGCAAGTCTTAGATCATACGTGTCATGTATAATTTAGTCATATCTTAAATTTAAGCTTAGCTATTAACCAGCACCTTAATAGAATATACATTACGTCCTCCTGGGAGAATTTCTGAGATTTTTCTGTTCTTAAAATGGTTGCTTTGGGGGCAGCCCTGTTGACTGGTACGCGACGATCTGTTCTTAATTTTCTGGTTTTTATTGTGGGATAATTTAATCACACATATGGGAATTTATGAAAAGGTTTTGCGGCAACACTACATAAGAGCTGGAGAAGGCAACCATATGGCACATCAAGGCTTGTCCTTATAAACTCAACAAATGCCATTAAACCTATATTTTTCTATCTTCATCCCATAAATGTGTCCAGCTTCTCCTTGATTTGATTTACGCTCCACATTTCTGGAGCTGACTTCAGCACTTCATTCCATCTTCTAACCACCCATCGTGCTAATCTGATTAATGTTTTAGCAGCACAGCATTTTTTAAGTCTTTCTTTTCTTTTGAAGTTAGGGAGGAGGATGTGTTTATCAACAGGAAATATGCTCCATCGTATATTAAGCATGAAAATATGAATCCAATTGAATGCATAGCAGATTTTTGCAACACAAGCAGTAAGTCATCACATGTCAGGGTTGCTCTTTCAATGACAACCCAACACTGCATTCATATCAGAACATGTCTGCAACATTGGGGGAGAAAAAGCAGTTTTATGGCAGTTCCACAGTAAAAGTCAAAAAGAAGCTCTGGCTTTGATTCATCAAGGGGAATTATTTCAGGTTATTAAATATGCTAACTGGGTCATCCAATGCCCATGTTGTTGATGTTGTTATTTTTTAATACTACTTTGCTGCCAATAGGAACATCAGCAAAGACTTGTTTAACTCATTTTTGTATAGAACTCCAAATTAGCACAAGAGACTGTTGGTCATGGGCAAAATGATTTCAGCACTAAACTAAGACTGCAGTCCCATCCCCACTTACCTGGTAGTAAACCCTGCGAAATTCAATAGGACCTACTTCTACTTAGGCATTGTTAGACTTGCAATGCAAAACAGGAAATTAAACACTACATTGAATTAACCACATTGGCTCTGATCCATGCAACAATATATTTGTGGGTCTCATTGAAAGAGACTAGCTGCAACTCCCTCTAATATTGAACTTAGGTGGTTGAGTGCTGATCAGTGAAATGGAGCCACCCAAAACTAAGGAGGCAATTTTTGTACAGGGCACCAAATTAACACAAGGGTATGTTGGTCATGGGCTCCCTAGTTGTCTACAAATATTTAAGCTTGTAAATTAAAAGCCATTTTGGCAGGCACACACACACACGACTTGAGAAGACCCTGGTAGGTTCTAGGACTTACAGGCAGTTAACATCCTATTGGAAAGGACCTTATTTTTACATTTCTGGAAAGTTTAAATGACAATATGTTTCCCTTGAATTTATGCATGGTATTATATTTTGTTCTCCCCTCTTCATATATCTTTTCTTTTCCCCCCTCTTTCTTACTTCACTTGCTTCTCATGCAAAAAAGAAAGAAAGAAGGATGCTCGATGTAGAATGGTTTTTGCTATGTAGAGTCACAACATAAGAAAATATAAGCATACTCAGAAAGAAGGTCTGGCCCTGCTTCATCTTGTAAATAAATATCTGCCTTTTTTCCCCAGACAAGAAGTCCTATGCACAGGAAGAGAAGAGAAAGAAGAGAAAGTCCAACAAGACCAAGACAAAGGTTTCTACAGATTCCAGTGTTGTTGAAACGGTTTAACATACGAGGAACCCCTTGGCCTAGTTGTTGAGAATCCCTCTCCTAGGGGGATCCACAAAGGAACAGGTTCCCTGGAGACAGTGCAAGACAAAGGACATGCATGAGAAAGGAAGAAGCTCTTCAGTGATCAAAAGGAAACCAGACACATGATGCCACCGCTTAATGGACTGTGTTGTGCGAAGCCGTTTTAGACCCTTTTTTACAACATCTCCTCTATTATTTTTTAACTGGTAACTTTTATGGGGGTCCCCAGAAAGAGTTGACTGATCCAGTAACCATCCCCCCGCCCCCGGAAGATCATCTGCCTATTGTGTCGTTTTTCTCTCCAACTCTATGATACAAATAAGATTATTACACTGGAACTAAATTCCTATTGAAAGCGAAGACAGGAGATACAATCTTATCCAAAGAAATGCAACTATCTTCCCTTGCCTGTTGATAGAGGATAGATCTCATGGCGAGGTCTGTTAACTGCTTAACATAAGAAAAGCTGGTGCCATGTTAAGATGAATTGTTCTATTACTACTTTAATATTAACACCAAACTATTCTGGCTTGTTAACACCTGCATCTGCTCCAGTTGTTAAAAGGACCAAATATATTAAGTAGAGCAGCTTTATTTTGCTCTTTACCTGTTTTATTTATGCTGCCATTACCCCATCTCTACCTCTGAGTTTCTCCTACTAGCATAAGAGCATAAGAAAAGCCTGCTGGATCACGCCAATGCCCCATGTAGTCTAGCATCCTGTTCTCACAGTGGCCAACCAGAGGCCTGTGGGAAACGCACTAGAGACATGGAGAAGGACTGAAGATGCTCGCTCTGTGATGGCTACATTACAATAGTAAAGAGCTCCCAGATGTTACAGCCATGGGTGGTGCTGGATGTCACTCTCCCCATCAAAATGCCACATGTGCTCTAGGATTTGCACAGAGAAGTAGTCATGTATTTGCACCGAAATCATCCCTCCTAGCCATTTTCAGTTGCCCAGGAACTGACAAAAAGCACTGTCTATAAGCTGTTTGCCTGGCATTCCAGCGTACACAGAAATTTATTCAGATCGTTTTGTTGCTGCTGCTGCTGCCTTCAGGATTAAAGTAATAATTCCTTCTAATAATGAAGTTGGGTGGTACTTTTAGGGCAGGCATGGCCAAAATCCGTTTTGGGGGCCTAATCCGGCCTGCCAGTCAATTGAGTTAATCCGGCCCCTGTAGCAGTATATGTCCTGGGAGGAAATCCTTTAAAAAGCTCAACAACTATGGGGTAACGCATAGTTATGCAACAACGCATGTTCACTTCATCAAATCTGGCCCTCTTTGAAAAAAGTTTGGGCATCCCTGCTTAGGGGAAGGAACCATAGCTCAGCAGTAGAGCATCTGCTGTACCTACAGAAGGTCCCAGATTCAGTCCCTGGCACCTCCAGGTAGGGATGGGAGAGAACGTTGCTTGAAACCCTGGTAAGCCATTTGCCGTCAGTGCAGGCTGGCATTATCCAGTCCTGGACCACAGGTTAGACACAGAAAGGTGGTATCAGCATGCTCAGGTGAACCCTGAGACATGCAGAAGTACAAAACATTCCCACCTCCAGCCCAATGAGGAATGAGCATACTCAGTGGCAGCCAGGAGCCACATGAGGGTGAGTCTTGGTTGAAAAGAAAAACAGAAAATTGGCAGGAGGTGGTGGTGAAGAGGAACTTGGCTTGCCCAGGGACCCAGAGCTACAGCAATAGCATCACGGCTGCTTACTAGGAGGGGAAGAGGCAACGCAGGGGGCATGGAAATGGGGCTGTGCAGTGTACCAGCAGGAGTTTTTCATTAAACAATTTCTTATTTGAAGCATTGTATTCTACACAATGGAAAATTTTTGTACAGCTGTTAAATAAAAGCATAATACATGCAATAAAGCAATTGGTTATTCACAGTTCCCAGTATTTCCAATCCTATCTTATTAAATGTGGAATTGGTGGATTTGATGGCTTCTGCTGACTTCATGTTCTTTTTTTAAAAAGTCCCAACATTACTCTTAGAAATCAGGCAGCAATGGTCCTTTTGATGCTTGAATGGCCTGACCTTATGAGTACTTGTGCTCCAACAGGAGCTTATCTGAGATCCAGGTGCCAGCACAGAGGAGGAAGGCACAACCTGCCCTCAAATAGCTGTAAATTTATATAGCTTCCGACCAATAACAACTTGAGTAGGAAGAATAGCTTTTACTTTGATTAGGTGACAACAGTTACTACACTGCACCTGTCTCAGGTAATAGACCATTTCACCACTTGGCAAACTGATACTGCCAATGTTGCTTTGAGATCCAGGTGCCAGCACAGAGGAGGAAGGCACAACCTGCCCTCAAATAGCTGTAAATTTATATAGCTTCCGACCAATAACAACTTGAGTAGGAAGAATAGCTTTTACTTTGATTAGGTGACAACAGTTACTACACTGCACCTGTCTCAGGTAATAGACCATTTCACCACTTGGCAAACTGATACTGCCAATGTTGCTTTGAGATCCAGGTGCCAGCACAGAGGAGGAAGGCACAACCTGCCCTCAAATAGCTGTAAATTTATATAGCTTCCGACCAATAACAACTTGAGTAGGAAGAATAGCTTTTACTTTGATTAGGTGACAACAGTTACTACACTGCACCTGTCTCAGGTAATAGACCATTTCACCACTTGGCAAACTGATACTGCCAATGTTGCTTTGATCAAAACTTACTACTTAACATGTGTTGCAAGTCATTTAATTATTTGTACACTTGAATGAAGTTCTTTGATGTCACAAACCTCAGGAGAAGATAAGCACTGGTATACACCACACAGAATTGGTTCATTCCACAAGGTGTGTATACAGTAGCAATTCTACAAAATAACACAGAGCTCATACTAAGGATATTCAAAATCATATACCTACATGAAGACGCAGTGATTTTATATGGCTGATTTATTTATTTTTCTTGAAATCAGCAGAACTGATTATTCAGCACAAAGCTAAAACAGGCTTCTGATACCTGATCACTGTTCAGTTTAGTGCAATCCATATGAATGGAGCAAACAGATGTTGGAGATGTTTTTAACATATTGCTGATTTTCCACAAACACCCACCCACATGTTGAGCTAATGCTTCTTAAAAATTTTAAAAATACTATATTGTTTATATACCATAAATAGACTTATTTTAAGTGCTTATTTACAGTGCTGTTCAACCTGCTTAGCTAGTGGAACAAGGCAGTGCAAACTGAACATTGTACTGGAATGACTGTTTGGAGGCTGTTGACTGTTGTCGCTGAAATTTTGAAGGCAAGCCAAATGGAGAGATCATATATACCAGTCAGCGAACTGTCCACAAAATAAAATGAAGAATTGCCAAAATAGCAAAGTGGACTATGTTCAGTTGAAAGACGAGGGAGAAATGGCCTGACCCTTCAGAAAATTAAGCTTCTGTTTATGAATGAATACCAAACAAAAACTGAAATTAAAGCATATTTGTTCAGGTTGTTTGCTATGATATGTTTATACAGGCTGCTTCTAATTACCGGTATATTTGTCACATTTCCTTAAAGCATTTACAATTATTTATTTTTGAAGTGGCCTCTGCAATGCATGACAGCATGCAAGAGTAACAGAGAACTTTGCAAATACGTAACTCTTTTCCAACATTCTTATAGAAGCTCATATTAGAAAAGTGTTCATATATTATTATTATTATTATTTTATATTGCTTCTTTTTTCAGCCAACTCAAAGAAACAAAGAAAGATTATTTCAGGAACGAACAACACACTACATGTTGGGTATAACTTAAAGTGCACATTCAGGTGTGGAACAGTGACAGAGATTACTTAACCCCTTGTGCTGTAACCTCTTTCTCCATTCTAAACCTAAAGCCAGCTGCTCCCACCACCCTGAAGTGCAAAAACACATTTAGAGTCTTGCAGGGGGGAAGTGGCTCAGAGTGATTTGAAACAGAGAAGGAAGAAGCACCCTCTTTCTTTGCCTCCTCTCTGTTTCAATTCAGCCTCTTCTCCTGCCAAAGTGGCTTTTCCTGGGATGGAGTGGGGAGTGTCTGGGTTTAATTCCAAAATATTTGAGTGCAATGATTAATTAGGGCTTCATGTCCCAAAGAACACATGTCCCAATTCTGACTCTTGCTCTTTAATTTCCACCAAATTAAAAAGTATACATCACCTTGCCCAAAGCAGTTTATGGCAATGAAACATTTTGGAGTGCTGAAACAAATGCAGGGCCTTCCTATAAGTCTATCCAACCCTGATGCTAACCTTCCATTTGCTTCAATGGAATGAAAGGCAGCTGAATTCTCAGCGCTGCTCCCCAGAAGTCTGTGCATCGATGTTACACCTTCATTTGTGGTGTTACAAACCATGACTTTGTCAACCTATTCCTAAGCACAATGGGGAAGACCCCATTGGATGCTGACTTTGCACCAGCAGAAGGTGCTTCTGTTTGTGCAAGGCAAGGTGGGGTACCAAAATTTTGTCAGTCCCTTGTAATCCTCTGTGACAGAACCCATACTGTTCACAGGGTCCCTACTTTTGGGGGGCTGGCTGATGTATAGGTGACATTCCTATTTAGACAGGGCGTAATGTCAGGCCTGTAAATACATTTTAACTCACTTTTATTGATGTTTGCCTTGGCTTGTTTATATGATTTTAACTTTTCTTTTTTAATGGCTGCTTGATTGTATTTTCTTACATTTGACTTGAGCACTATTTGGAGGAGGAACATGGAAGACAAATTTGACAAATAAAATGGGCAGAATCAGTGGAAATTGGACACCTTGCCTTTTGCAAGCAGAAGGGCTTTCCATATGCATGAAGCCATCCTTGGATATTGAATCCGTGCTGGAGGAGCACACCTGATCCCGGACAAAATCACACTGATACTTGAAAATAAGACCTTGATAGGAGTAAGAGTTGATGAACCACACCAGGTACATTATATATTAGCTGTAAGTCAAGCATACATTTTATCTCCCCAATACAGTAATTAACAGACGAAGCCAGTGGCCTGTGTTATTCAAGAGTCAAAGTAAATTATTGTAATTATCCTGTCTGGCCTTCAAGTCTATGAATGCTTACATACATCAGTGGTTTGGGAGACTTAATTAATTACAGAATATTGGGATATATGAGCCAAATTATATTTATGA